ATGCTGGTCACATAAATAAAATAAGATGGATATGCAGAGCTGTGGCAAAATCCCCCTGCTGTGGCAAAGGCAAAACTTGCCAAGCAATGACGCTGCCCTTATAGCTGCTGTTTGAGAAGTGTTTCCTTATGGTATTAAGGGAATTAGCAACACCCAGACTTAATGTCATTTAATTCTGCAAATACATTTCAGAGCTTGACTCAGCTCCCAGCTATAAAGCAGTCTCTCTGATTTGCCAGCCATGATCTTCATAATTTTTGGAGACTTGCATTTTTCCTTACAGCAGCCCAAAAAAGCCATTCTTAGCCTCATTCCTGGGCTCCAGTCTTTTCCTAAGTCTTCTCAGACAGTCATCAACATAGGAGGTAAAAATGGGTCTGATCCAAATCCTGGTTTAGTCAGTGGAACAGATTCCTGCTGAATGAAGTGAGGGCTGGATAAGATCAGTAGACCCTATTTTTTCATTCCCTGCCTCGACAGGAAGGATCTCTACGTGCCCTTCCAAGCTCTGGTATGAAATGACTCAAAGCCTGAGACTACTGCTTCTCCTGGAAAATACTCCCCAGACCAAACAGATCATATGATAAGAAAATTATTTCCACCTTTATCACAACCCAACTTCTTTCCCAGGTTCCCCTGGAAAGCCCTAATTTTGATTCCCCTTCAGTTGTTTGTGATAATTATCCACGTAATAAATTCCTCCCATACTTTGCGTGGGTACTTGCTTTGGTGCTTCCATACATCCTTGTATCTAAGTCCTTCCAACGGTTTGAGCATTTTAGTACTCTTCTGTGATTTCAGTACATAAATGCTTCTTTCACAAACGCAGCATATCTTGCACAGAGATGTGAACTGCTTTACTCAGTATAACACAGCAGCTATCTCTAGGGACAAGAATATTTGGGTGGGATTCACTTGATCCTTGGCATTAATCTCTCTGCACTGCTCTTCAGCAGAACAAGATGGCTCTGGGAGGCTTCTAAGGAAATCTAGAGTGACTGTGAAGGCTGCACCAAAGACATCCCTCCTTACGTGATGTGCATCAGGCCCTTGGAAATGGGCATCTGGAAAGGGAACAAATTACGTGCCTAACAAAATTAAAATGTTCTGAACAACTTATTGTGCTGACTTCTTTTTCAGGGAGGTGAATAAAAATTAAGCGTTTTTATAACCTTGGAAGCTCCCGTTTTGAAATTTTTAGAATGGAGAACTGTGGTTGTTGCTGCTGCTGTGTTGAAAAGTGTTACAATGAAGATGCACCAGATTTCTTAAATGAACCAACACAAAATTCTGCTGAAACATGAATTAGATGTTTCAGTGTTTCATGCAATCCAATCTTCAGCCTTCGGTTTCTAATTTTGGTTCACAGAGAACTTCGGTCTTCTCCTGCTCACCCTGCTTTAGAACAAAATCACACCTTTCATTTGCGATTTCCAACTAAATTGAGACAGTTAGCTCCTGCTGCATCCTATCCTTCAGACACATCCTTCCTCAATCTGCATTTTGTTTTACTCTTCTAGCTTTCATAGAATACACTAATATGCACTCACAGTTTTGCTCCACTTGCCCTCTGGTTATGAAGTTGCCCCATAGGTATCAGTGCCAGCCTCTGATAAGCTCAGCTTGTTCTCCAGCTCCCCATGCACTGTCCTTGACCTCATGGGTGTGGGGAGGAATATGGAAAGTCAGGCTGAAAATCTCATCCTTCCACTTTTCGGTCCAAAATTAATTTGATGTGAGCCAGTACTGCTCTGCTGACTACTATTTTGTGCCTCTGAGCTCACATTTCACCATGCTATGTTCTCGTGCCACATAAAACCAAGGTGAAGGTGTACCGCTGAACGCACTTTCCTTTATAGAGCAGAGCCATGGTTTAGGAGTTAAATTTGTCAGCTCATTGAAAGAAAACACAATGAAAAGGTGCTCCAAACTCTGTGACAGCCCTGAAAGCAGACTGTTACCACTCTCTCAGCTCCCTTATTTCAGTTTTTGGCTACTGGTTCAGAGCAACAATGAACTTCCACTTTAGGAACTACAGAGGGAAGATGGTCCGCAAAGAGAATAGCTTGGGCACTGGGGACAATAAGAGGTCTGGGGCCTGAGACTTAGAGGCAGGCGCTCCCTTCTCTGTTTTAGAGAATTTCAAAATACTTTGGTTTTCCTTCCAAAATGGAAAAAAACAGACATCTTACAATTGCAAAACCCTCCATAAAATGGAATGATCTTTTTTCTCCCCACAGTTCCATCTGAAACAGATGGAATTTTCTTCAGTGAAGTGACCACTTAATTAAAAATATGGGATACCAAATTAATACCACTTCAGCAGGTACCGAGGGGACAAGTGAAAATTGTCCAACCTTCTCCAGGTGTTTAAGTCAACTGTTTATTGCTTTTTAAGGTGTTTGGCAGCTGGTAAGTAATTTAAATGACGCTTGTCGGCTCCCAAATAGAAGAAATAAATGAACACAAAAGAGCAAGATTTCAATTAAAGTTCATCATGTAAAACAGGCCTCATGCCTTCCCTGACCACAGAGATTAGCTTTTGTGTCTGGAATTGCATTTCATAAACCTCCTCCCTCGACATGGAACATCTGCTCCCTTTAGGACTATTGTTTTACACCCATAAATAAAACATAAAATTACATTTTTGTCACTCTTCAGGCCAGATCTTCAGCTGGCATAAATCAATGGTGAGCAGTCAACCTCAGCAGAGCTCTGCTGACTTAAACCAAATGAGAATCTGGCCCTTGATGCTTTGGTGCTGAAGAAAATAATGGGTCTGGGCAGAGCGTGTGGGACATTGTTTATCAGAGAATGTGTGTGAAACTACGTGGAGCAAGTAACCATAAAGCATGATTGATCTCTCCAGCATATTTTAGCACTTTTTTGTGTGTGTGTGAGTGTTTACTGAAACCTTTTAGGTAGTGCAGTCTTCTCAGACATCATTTTATGTTTGAAAAGCTTTCTAATTCATAATGAAAAGTTACGCGTCGCTCCAATGAACCCCTAGCTTCAATTACTTGCTGTGCAAATGGTTGGCCTGCATTTTGACCAATGTTTATGGTGTTTGGCAATTTTTCAGTAGCTACTTTGCCCTGATATGATTAATTTCTTGCATAATATGAGGTTTTGCATGTGTGGAGCTGAAATAATCCTGCTAGGCAAAAGTGAAATAAAAGAGCTTGTGTGTTTCAGCTTTAGAAACATTCGAAACATAACATCACAATTCTAAGCGTGCCAATGATAATACAAGTTAGCCACGGATGAAGACAACCACAAGAGACATGAAGTTCCTGATGGGATTCAGCGGCATGAAAGTCATTCCTTGGCTTGTAAGGTCAGCATACTAGATCATAGCTGGGCAGCCCAAGAAGCAGAAAGCAAGAGACAAGCCTGGAGCACATTTTACGTGACTGCGCTGGGCGAAGTGAGAATGGCGGCTGTATCCATTTTCCTTCCTGAATGCCAAATCCCACTCCAAATGCTAGCCTCCCTTTGCACCAGAAGTGCTAACATGCATTAACTACCCTGAAGTAAATGGAGGTAGAGCTTGAACAAACAAATCTTCATTTAAAAATACATTTAGCTTTAAGCACCTGAGAAATCTCACTGGAGTCATGCTAGAAAGCCAGGTCTGTGTAACAGCTTCTTTATTGGATCAGAGACCTAAGCGGACTTTACAGTACATGACTGGATAGCAACACTTGGATCTATGCAACCCTAAGAGGACAGATTTTGCTGACAGCTTTTTTTCAGTGGATCTGAGGAGAATGAGATACCCAACTCCCATTATACTCTACAGCAGAAAGATGCTTCCATGGAACCTGGTGCCCAGTTCTCTTTGGGCTTGATGAACAACAGGGAGCACTAGCTCCCAAGCTGTCTGCCCTGCTACTGCAGCCCATAGATACCTCTGCTCTGATTCAGCTCATCATTTAATGTCTTAATGCAAGCACGCCCTCTTCACTGATTTAATCTAAAATGTTGTGCTGTAAACTCAAGAGGCTCTGTGGTGGGCAATAACTCCCATACTAACTCAGGTATGTAGAAAGTTATCCTCAGCAGAAGTTGAGAAGCGGATCACTGGAGGTGGTAACCTCTTAAACTGCCCTAGAAAGAAGCCCTTAGGTACCTTCAAAATCCCAACCTCCATATTTTTACTTCCTACAATCACACACTTGTCACCTTAATAGAAAGTACGTCTACATTGCAAATTCCAGTATAGCAAAGAGGTACTCAGGCTGGCTATAAATGAGCTAGCCATAAATGAGCCTGCTTTCTGGCAGGATAAATTAGCCCATATGGAGCTAACACTGCCAAAAAGCAGGGTAAATTAGTCCTCTCGGTGTTCTCTGCTGTCTCATCTAGACTGCGTCCAGTATCTACAATGGTTCGTTTACAGCTAGCTTGGGTATTTCTGCATTGTCATGTGGACATACTCAGAGCAGTATTATTATTATTGTTGTAACATCTACAAGAGTGCAGGAACTGAGCCTAATGTGGGTTAGTTACCTTTTACCTTTGCCTTTTAGCTCAGTGCAGAGGCTGTCGGATGTGAGAGCACTGCAACATGATTTCACCAAAATTTAGGAGTTACTTTTGCTCACGTGAAAGTACACAGATTAGACCATCATCTTGAGTTTTAACAAACTTATGGCCACAAAGATCCCTCACAGAGAAGACTTTTAGCTTGGGATTTGTTTCTGCCATTGAACCTTTTCTAATAAGCCAGCCTGTCTGGACCACTTTCTGGTTAAAATAAAAGAAACAAGAGATAGAAGTGGAGTTCACTGATCTGTCCTGGGTAAGTTTGCTCAGCCTGTTTGGTCCTTGAGGTTCTAAAGAGAGCTGAGCTAGAGTAATATTATTTAGAAAGTAACATTCTTTTTTAATGCCTACTTTATCCGTGGATCTTAAAAACACAGAATGCTTTTGATTGAAACAAAATTTTAAAAAGCATTCAACAATTAAGAAGCGTGCAAATCCTGCCAGAAAATTACCTGAATTAGCTGAAGTTGAAACAAGTCCTGGGTACACGGAGCAGCATCTGTCTCTGAAATCTGGAGCAACGTGGAACTTCACAAGGCACCTACATGGACAAAAGAAATGGCAAATTGAGCACAGATCAATCTATACTTAAAACTTCCAAATACATTGGTAGGTAGACAACTTCTCAATAGAGACACACTTCCACTGCCAGGGAAGTGCTTAAGGCAGGACGGCTTTGTGCAGGTAGGTGAAATAAAATTAGTGATGCTAAGAAAAGCTGCAGCGGTAAGTGTGCATCTGACAATTAGCACTCATACCAGCACAGCTATCTGGCAAAAAATCACATCCAATTTAATACACACATGCCGGCAAGCCCTCTAACACCAGCTCCCAATATATCATGTTAACAGAAGTCTTCACATTTCAGAAATCCATTTCAGCCAGTAGTGCATAATTTTACAACCAGATAGTACAATACATGAAAATACACTTCAGATTCCTGTTTGACTTCTGTGATCTTAATTAGTACCATGCAGAATGAAGAAGCCAACTTTAAAATGCCCCAGCGCTATCCAGTTTCTCACTCACTGTTCTGCCTTGTCTGGGCTTTGCAGCAAAATGGAGCAGAGCAATCAGCATGCGATGAAATCTCCTTGGAAATGTGAATGCAGCCCTTTCTTTTTCTGTATTTACTTACAGATCAGCGTAGCCCCGAAGAACTATAAACAGCTGAGAGCAAAAAATAAAGGGACCTCAGAAAAGTTTTATGTCCTCCAACTATAAATGTCAGGTGGCAGTATGGGGCAGTTTATTTTTCTGTAGAAATATCTAATTTTTTTTTTTTTTTTCCATGAAAATATTTTTCATCTCTCTCTCCCAAAAAAACTAAAATCCACTTAAAACAACCTAGCTCAGATGTCAGAGGATGAACGAAAAGTACCAGAGCAGCCACACACCCAGAGATCTCCATAAACACCCAGATAAGGCAAAATCTTGGTGGTGTAGCCAAGAACCACACTGGGCTGGGTGACTTGAGGGGCAGCATAGGCCAGATGAAGCATCGCATTTGTAGCCAGCTCCGGTACAAAGCGAAGCGCTGGGATGGAGCACGTGTGCATGACTGGGGGGCAAGGGGCACACGCAACGTTTTCCAAAGGTCTGATTCCTCACGACTCTGCTTTCCCTCCCCAATTAAGGGTTGAAATGAGCCACTGGAATCTACTGTATATCCTGGGGAAATGAACGCCCTGGCTGCTTTCCAACTCCTATTTCTCTCTTTCTACAGCAAACAAACAATAGGCCAAGTAGGATGTTGTACATAGCTGAGGAAAAAAGGGGGGAAAAAAAAAAAGAAAGAGGAAAAGTGAAGTATTGATAAACTGAGATTAATTTTTACAAAAATGTTTATATCAAGTGCATATGCTTTGCCTCTTGGCCATTATGGAAATGTCAGGGGTTTAATTGGCAGCTGTGAATAGCAGCACCTGCAAACAGCTCAGGGCTTGTTCCTGTGGTCTGGCAACATTCTTACTTTATGCTTTAAATAAAGGCTTACTCACTGAGACAGAAATAACTGACAGTGGATGATTGATGATTGCCCATCACGCAATGGCTGACATCTACCATTCACCGAATCCATTTACAATTTCACTTCCAGATTTCATTAACAGGGCCATGACATCTAGGAACAGGATTGATACAGATGGCAGCTCAGTTACAGAGTTCAGCTGATGCTGAGCGTATGTTAAGCATGGAAAATAGATTACTATGAGCTCCAATCTATCTCATGTGGTACATTTTGGAAACCCTATCTGTTTACTCCAGGTAACCTTTTATAGTTCTATTTATCCTGCCTAGTTTCAAACCAGATAGCAATTTTCCATAGCGGAGAATTTATACTGCCATTTGCAACGTGCATTTATAAAATACTTTGGTGAAATATTAAGACAAGCTTTTGGCATTCTAAAGGTTCCCCCCCCCCTTTTTCTTTTTTTTTCCTTTTTCTTTTCCTTAAGAAGGAAACAAAAAACACTAGTGCATAAAATCGGTGATTTCCCTAATCACAAATATCCTCTTCGGAGCAAAACAAATGGCTCGCTCCCACCACGCACCTGCGGGTGCCTCAAACCGCAGTGGCCGTGGAGCAAACAGCAAAGTTTCCAGCCGGAGGGGCCAGTCCTGCTCGGCTCGGCACTCCTGCTGACCTTTGCCTGCCATGGGACACCGCGTCCTGCAAATTCTTGTTTTCATCTCCGACGCCTCGCATTTGGCACGGGCTGCTCTTCAGGAAGGCTGAGGCTCAAAATGCAATTTTCCGTTTTCATTAAGAAGCTGGGCCAAATATCTGAATTGAGTTTTCAAACCCCAGAAAGCCTGGAGCTGCTCAGACGCAGGACTTGAAGGTGGCTAGTACTTAGGGTCGGGGACACCTCTGTAATTCGGAGCTGTCTTCAGAGCGAGGGCTTGGGACCCTTTCCTTTGGGATTTGTGTGGCCATCAGCACAGCGGGAAGTGGGCATATTTGTCCTGAGCAGCTCCTGACTCTTTAAAAAGTACCAAGCAATCATAAGGGACGCTCCTGAACCAGAATGCTGTTTTCTAAAAGTAAGTAGTCCCAACTTAATAAACTCATACCACTATGATCCACACTGATAACAGTCACCACCCAGCCCTAAAGGCACAGTAAAAACCTGTACAACACCACACTCGAGTAAGAGCCTCGCTTCAGGGCTGACACAACTGCTCCTGGAGAAATGCATGCTATGCTATGCAAGAATTGGTTTTCCACCATTCCCAGACCTCACAATCTGCTTCCCAAACTCGGAATGTGAAGCTCTCGCACCAGTCCATGACTTGCAGCAAGCTTTCAAAATCCTGCAGACACACAGCAGGCCCCATCTCAGCTCCTCTGCCCTCTCTCCTTCCCTTTAAGCCAGCGGACCTCTGCCCTGTCCCACTTTGCTCTTGGCAGCACCTTCCAAACCCCCTACATTTGTTACTGCTGTTCATACTTTCACAGCGAATAGAGAGTGCAATGGAAATTGGTCTTACTGCAGCTCTTCAGCAGGTGCAGAGATAGCCGGTTTCCAAACTGACACTCCTAATGGCTTTCCAAAAACAGCTCTGTTTCATCTCAAAATTGGTGAGCCAAATCCATTCCTTCCGTACTTAACCAGCCTTGTACATTTAAGCCACTGCTTCAGACTCCCTACGTAATTGCATACAGTTCTTGGAAAAATACTTTTTCTTTATTATGATTTTTTAAAGCGATTAAAGATGATCGCGCACAACCTCTAGAATTAACTTTGTGCAAATATTTATACAAACCTAAAGCTGTGGCTTTTTTTCCCTTTCTAGGTGAAAAGTGAAAGAGTTGTTCCAGAAGAAAACAACTGCATTGTCTACTTTGACTGAAGGCAGTTGCAAAAATCAAAAGCATGAAAAGCCTCTGCTTCTTTTGCTCTTAAAAAGCAGTGATGCTCATTGTAAAGAAAAAAAATCATCCTTTTTCTGTACCTTCTCTTATGTGTGTCATTGACGATGGTTATAGACGACAGTTAGGGAAGTTCCGTAGGAAATTCCCCTTAGTTGCAAAAAGTACCTTTCTGTAATATGGTTGTATTTGACAGCGCAAAAAGCATTTTTAAAACTTGCCAAAGACAGATGAAAAACACAGCAATTGTGACAGAAACAGATATTCTGTGCTTTGGGGATGAGGGCCCATGTGCACCTCTGAAAAAAACTAACGTTAGGCATCCCATTTTTTAGTACTGCTACTGCAACTTTGGTCCAGACAAATGGATCTGCACTGAATTTTCTGCAGTCTTGCACACAGCTGGAGACAGTGGAATATTTTCTGCTACTCTTTGTAAATACCCCATAAAATGCACAGTAAGGAGCTACTTCAGCCTGGCATCAAGGCAGGCGGTCAATGTCACCTCCCTGCAGCAAGGCCTAGGAGCACCACTTTGAAGCAAAGCACGGGGCCTGGTGCTCTGTTGAGTAAGGGCCCAAAAATCTGACTGACACACCCCGAAGTCAGGAATAATAGGATTCCACCCCTATTTTATATGCTGAACTGCAGGCTTCCAGCTCAGAGCCAGTCATTGGGGCTCTCTGCACAGCAAGCTGACAGACATAAGTACAGTAAGGGCATGACTCACCCCCTGCTTGGTTTGGTGTTGGAAAGAGGTCACACCAACCATGTGCTGTAAGTGTGTGTTTCCCCATCATCATTAAGTTACAGCATTCAAGTGACTGGATGAGACACAGACTTCTACTTCTCTGGCACATAAAACAATATGAGACATATCACATTCAGAACAAAACAAAGCTTATAGAGAAACCTTGGGATCCAGGTGAGGAAGAGAAGCAAGTCTACAGATCTTTTTCTTTTTTTTCCTCTTCTTTTTTTTTTTTTTAAACTCCTGCATGATCCTGCTGCATCAGTTATCAGGCAGGAGAAAGATGAAAGAGGAGTATGGATATGCGAAATAGTGATGGGAGTGTCTCTGCTTCTGCCTTGTTACTTACATGATCAATGAAGCCTAGGGATGCTGCACTGTGCTGTATTCTTGTCCCCAAATGTCCTTCACTGCCCTAGGATAATGAGGCAGAGACAGATGCCACAGCCTCCACTTATACCCATAATTATTGCCTTCTCTGACATTCTCTTCAGAGGCACCAGTGTTCTTGTACAGAATATATGCTACCCAGAGATTGTGCTTAGAACTAAGTGCCTACATCCATGCATGAGACTTTGGGACAAACACACTGCCAGGGCTATGACTGAAGAGAAAATCTTCACTAATTTTGGTAAGCTTAGATCTTGCAAGAACAGGCACTGTGGGGAAGTTTGTTAAAGAAAGAGAAAAGCCACAGCTTATTTTACATAGATAAGAAAGATATATAGTAAATGAAAGCTGCACTCGGTGGCAAGCATGCAAAAGAACTGTTGAACTGCATTTTTGGCCATCCACCATCCACCTGGTGCTCTCAATCAGGCACAGATTCTGTGTAAAAGCAGTAAACAGGTAATCAAAGATCAAGTCAAAACGCATTTTTGGAAGAGAGAGGCGCAAAGGTGAGGCAGACCCCACC